AAAAGCGACCTGTACTGTAACAGATGGAGGGACATACATAAACCGACTCAGAAAGTGATTCTATGCATATTCTCAAAAGGAACTACCAATAGATATATACCCTCACCCTATGGTTTGCGGAGGAAGTCTTCGATATTATACATTCGTTTTATATAAGGTATATGTTTAATAAAAGATGTTTCGGATTTTATGTTGATCAAATATATAGTATTGTACCAGAGAGGGCAGACGGGTCCCACCTTGTGCAAAATTTGGTTCAAATCGATGGGAGGTACCAAAAGGAGTGGACCAATGGGTTCCATCTACAAACTTGATCTGGGCTTGGCCAAAGTAATTGGTTGTGCCAAGTTTGGTTCAAATCGGACTTTCCATTAGCCTGATATTGGATTTATAAATATTGAAAATGTTGACCCTCTGTGGGGAAGGTATCAGAAGGAGTGAACCATTGGGTCCTATCTTCCTAATTTTCAGCAAAATTTTGACCATTTTTTTGGAGAGGTACCGGATCGAGTGGACCAATATTTCCCATCTTGGAATTAAAACTAAGTTTGAATGAAATATTATGATGTGCAATAATTGGATGAAATCGGTTACTCCTTTCGATATCGTGCGCACCAGACAGACTGACGGACGTAATGACCTTTGTATAGCTACTCAAAATTATCTGAAACGGATTTGGTCCAAAAAAATATGAACCTGTATTTCGATGACACACATTTTTTGCCATAGCAAAGTTTATATACCCATAAGGCCGAGAATATACATTTTTTTTTAATAATTGATCAAATGAATATTTCATGATAATTAATAATGCGAAAACAAAATTAGTAAAATCTCGAGCACGCTTTCAGGACCATATCCTGCTCATGAAATATCATATGACCAAATCGCAAAGAGGCGCTTTACGTTCTCCGTGACCTCAAGAATTATATCATTGAGGTTAACTTTTTATAAAGTTGGGCGTTGATGCATTTGGTATTCTATTGTTGATTAAAAATTATATCTCATTTATGGGGAATACAATCAAAGGCTTCGATCTATCCTGCTTTAAGTTCTCAAGTGTGCATTAATTAAATATAATAACATAAATAATTAATTAAGTAAAATCAAATAAATAAAAAATATTTCGTATAAATGTTGTTGTTGTTGTTAGTTTCATTGTGTGCATTCTGTGATGAGTGTGGACATGTATGAGTGCATGTGTGTGTTTGCGTGTGAGGCGAAGGAATGATGAGAGATAGAGATATAGCTAATTTATGGTAATAAGGCATGAAGAACAATAACGAACGATTTGTTTGGTAGGCTGTTGTTGTTGAGGTTGTATGGATGTAGTTGACATGATGAAGATTGAGAGTAAAATTAAAGTTTTTATTTATTTATTTTTTGTATTCCTTTCTAATTAAAGTTTCACAAATATTTACAACAAGTTTTTAGTTTCTCAGTTTACAAAATTTACATTTTTCTGGATTTTAATTAAATAGACAAATTATTGTTGTTGGTGGTTGGATATTTGAAAAGTTGATAATTTAGCATTCAAAGCATTCATTCGAAAAGAAAATACAAAAGAAAACTAGTTTAGTTGTTGTATTGATCCGAAAACAGAGGGGAAGAATGAATGAATTTAGGATTGTTTGGTTAATGTTTTGGTATTGGTTTGATAAAGAAAACATTTAAATAGGTATATTTTCAGGAATATATAGGTATATTTTCAGGAAAAAGAACAGCAAGTTTTGTTATATGTATTATATGGTAGGATATGAATTATTATAGCCAAGAGCAAAATAAATGTAACACATGTAACATTTGGACTACTTAATTAAAAAAAATCAGTTGTATTTATATGTATGTATATGAAATACTACAAGAATAGAAAAAAAACTTTCAAAATGAAAATTAACAGACTGTTTCTGTAAAATTCGAAATTACCGACTTCAAGAAAGTACTATCAAATCATGTGGTGTGTAAAAGTACTTTATTTTGTATAATAAATATAAATTTTGTTTTCAATAAACCATGGATTGTTAGTAATTCGAATTTATTCGAATCGTATTTTCCAGAAACAGAGTGTAACAGACACAGTTTTCTTTATGGCAAACATATTTTTGTTGTTGTTTTTTTTTTAATAAACGAAACTAATTATAAGTTTTATTTTGCTTTGTTTAGAAAGGCAACTGCAAAAAGGGGATTTATTATGCAGGGTAGAATTTTGGTTTGTTTTATTTAAAAAAGAAGAATCTTTTTTTTTTTCAACCGTTGTTTTTTAAATTCGATTTTTTGTTTTGTTCATCATGCAACTTACCCGTACAGTCTACTATCTCGGAAACTCCTTCTTGTGTTTTTTCAAAAAAATAAATATTTTATTTGTTTTGTATTTTTTTGTTCATCGGTCGAATAAAAATTAAATATTAAAAAATGCATTAAACAAATTAATTGAAATAATTTACGAAATAAGTTGTGAAATGTGCTGGTCGTAATTAAAATGAGTATCCGTTTTTTTCTCAGCCGTAAATTAAAATTGCAGATAATTATAGTAATGTCATTGTTGTCAAAAGAAAATGGTTTTGAAAGCAAAGAACCTTCAAGATACAACAAATGAAATATATTGTTCCTTCCCCAAGAACCCGGAAAGTGAAATTACAGCCCATTCGATTGTAAAATGCGGCAGAACATACGGAAATTACTTAATCTACTGACAAGCATAAAGTGGTGGTCAAAATGAAAGCAACTTTTTCCAAAATAAACATATCGTGATGGGAATGAAAATTTTCAATGAATGAAAATTTTGAATTCCCGATTTTCCGGGAATGAAAAAAGTCGGGAATTCCCAAAACCTATTCAGTACAACGCAATTCAACATTGCAGTGTTCCAGCTCTATAAGTTCACCGAAATACAAATTGTAACAAATTTGGTACCATTTAGAACACATTGATATGAATTTCCAATACTTCCTACATAACCCAATCCCACACCGCGAGAGTGACCATAACTAACTCCAAATTTCATGATTTCAGCTCTATTGTCTATCTGTCGGTTCATCCAAAATCCGAATTGTATCAAATATATTACCATTTAGTACTTTCGTACACATAAGTACAAATTTCTGAAACTACATACATATCGCTACAGTCCGACAGTAACGTTAATTTCAAATTTCAGGATTCCAGCTCCATGCGTTTCTAAAAATTCAATTTGTACCAAATTGAGTACAGTTTAATACGTTTCCTATACATGAGTACACGCTTTCAAAACCACCTGCTTTTATCGACCGTACTTTTCAACTTTTCAAGTTTTTAGCTTTTCAAAATTTTACGAAATTGTACCAAAATTGGGGACATTTTAGTACTTTTAGGATACTAAAAATTCGGATTTCCTAAAAACCCTTTGGTATATCTCTCGTACACTCCATAAGTTCGCCTAATACAAATGGTTCGCTTAATATATATGGTACCCAATTTGGTAGTTTTTAGTTCTAATACGAATTTTCAAAACCCCTGAACTCATACTGATCCGCATCCCAAATTTCACGATTCTAGCTTCAGTCTGGGCGTTGATCAATCGTTAAGTTAGTCAGTCAGCCAGTCAACCACCATACATTTTATACCCTACACAATTATGTTGTCAGGGTATTATAGCTTTGCGCAGCCCCAAAAGTTTGTAACGCCGCGAAATATTGGTCCTAGACCCACCTTTAAGTATACCGATCGTCATATCTCGACTAGCTGAGTCGATCTAGACATGTGTGTCCGTCAGTCCATTATAATTTGTAAACACGATACAGGCCACAGTTATGGACCAATCTTCACGAAATTTTGCATGTAGGATGGGTTCTGGCCAATGAAGGCCCCTATTGTTTTTTTTAAAAGATCGGTTAGTATTTAGGGGATGAAATGGACCAAAAACATTATTTGTGGCCCTTTTTTGGGTGATCCAGAGGCCACAATTATGATCCAAACACCACGAATTTTTCCATGGAGAAGGGGATCGGGCCAAAGAATAAACATGTATGTTTTGATAAAGATCGGTCAATATATAGATGGTCAAATGTACACTGACTTTTGTGTGAAAAATGACAAAATTTGATACACTTAAATATTTACAGGTGCTTACGTACTGAGAAATTATTTAGTAACCCATTACAATAGAGGGCGGAATATAGCGCTGATCGATTTGAAATTTTCCATGAGATTCCAGTTGTGGTCAAGGACAACGCCTATAAATTTCTGTGATGATCAGGTAATAAATTTGGGATGAAATGAACCGAAAAAGGGCTGTACTGAATATTAGTAATAATCGGAATATATGTTAGTGTAAGGAAGAGGTGCTGTTGACCCCTAATCGGGCAAGAGGGTGCAAATATCACGAAATATTGTCCAGGCTCGGAATAAACATCCGCAGAAAGTTAGAGTTACGTGGTAGTTGTGTAGGGTATCGTATGGTCGGTCCCGTTACGACTATACTGCTCCGCTCACTGGTTTATTTTTTATTAGTATAGATTTGGTGTTGGTGGTCATATGTTTATTTATTTTTATCATTTATTAATTAATTGAAGTAAATTTCAAAGTGATTGGTTCCTACTTGACAACAATAACATTATTTGCAATTAAAAATAATAAATAAACCAATATAAGTAAGATATAAAAAAACATTAAAATATTTTTGTTTATAAATTATTTAAACTCTATTGATAAACTTCCAAGTTCGGTTTTAACAACTATTATTTCAATTAACATTTTGATTTAGACATAAAAACCCAAAACTGAAGATTTTTGGAAAGTAATAATCAACCATATATTGGAAAATATTTATTGAAATGTCGAATAGGAATTTGTAATCCTAGAAAAAATTAAATGAAAACAATAAATAGGAATTTGTTGAAAATGAAAATTAAGTTGAATGATGGATGTATGAATGATCAATAATTATATATAGTATAGATATAATATAGACATCTTCATATAAACAACAACAATAAGAAAAGGGTTTCAATCAAAAACTATACCTTCCATTTCCATGACGGAAGAGAGCCAATATTTCTTCGAATGTCTTATTTTTGGTCTCAGGAACCTTCTTGTAGGTGAATATCCAAAATATGGCTAAGAATACACTAAACGGTAAGAATGTATAATTTTCCAAAGCAGTCTGTAAAAAAGAAACATATTTTTATAAATTTTGTAAGAAATACGAAAAAAAAAATAAACTTAGTACCTTCATACTGGGGAATCCAATGCCAACAACGAAATTGGCCATCCAATTTACCAATACAGCTATGGCCATGGCACTGGGTCTTGGACCTTGTGAAAAGAGCTCGGCCGTGATCATCCATGGTATTGAGCCGGGACCCACCGCAAAGAAGACCACAAAGCCCAGTGTGGACACCACCGACAGATAGGACATCCAATCGATCATTTCCTGTACATAACCAAAAAACTCCTATACAAAACGTGAAGCTACCAAATTCTCGATGATTTGTAGGCTTTTTGGTTGGGTGTGTAATTTATTATTTTATTTAAATTAAATTTACGAAAAAATCAAAATGTTTAATTAAAAAAATATATGAAAAGACAAATTAAAAAAAATAATAATTTTGACAACTGTTTATATTAATTTTTGTTTATTGGGAAATTATAGAAATAATTTCAATGAATTTAGAATTTTCTTTTTTCCTGGTAATTAGTTCAGGGACACAATTTGTATTCTGAGAATATTTGAAATTAATATTTTTTTCCTTATTAAAATTTTTCTATTTTAATTTATTTTGCATTGTCATAGAACAATAATTAAAATCCCCCCTTTCCTCTAATATCCCAATAAAACAAAAATTATGATTTGCAAAAAATTAGCAAATTTCGTTGATTAGAATACGCTGAGAAGTTTATCAAACAATTACCTCCAAAATTTCTATTAATTAATAGAAATCATTTTCATTAAATATATATATTGTTTTTCTTATTTTTATGCATGAGTTGAGTATAGAGATTCTTTTTTTTGAACAAATTGAACAAATTTATTTGGTTTCTAAAATAAACTCTGCATTGTCACAGTGGCAGTTTGAAATTTAGTTAGTTCCATACGAGCGTTTTTTTCATTTTCTTCTTTTTGATATTTTACAGAATTCAACTGTCATTTTAATTGTTTGCGTTTTGTGCAGGTTCGTTGGGCATGGAACATTGGTTAGTAACAATAAATAGAATATAATTTATTTTATTAAAAAATAAATATATAAATATTGTGTGTGGTCAAAATAAGTTATTTTATTGAGGCGTGGCTTTAGTGAACGTTTAGTTTTTTTCTTTCAGTGTATTTGGTGTTATTTTACACAGCTTACTGAAGTGTTATTATATGAGAATAATTTTTGTTATTGAAAATTGTTTTTGTTAATTTGTACAATAAAAATTATTTGTGTTGCACTTTTGTTGTTGTTAATAACACAAAAAATTCTGTGAATTGCTTTTTTGTTATTTTTTTGTGAAGAAGGTGACTGAATCTGGTGCTTTGTCGTTGTGTATTTTTTTTTTTAATTTCACCAAATGTTGTATTGTAGTAATCGAAATTGTTTTAATTTTCGTTTTTTTGAAGCATTATTTTCTAAATTAAAATTTGTTTTTGAAAATAAATTAAGAATAAATATACAAAAAATCAAAATAAAATATTAATTATTTTCTTTTTATTTGTTTTTTTTTGCTATGGGACAAAAGCCTGCCAAGTCGAGAATTTTTTTCGTTTGTGGGGTGGGGGACAATTGAATAAATGAGTTTTTTGTTTAAATTAATTTTAATTATTTTTAATTAAAAAATATTTATTTTTTGTTTTTATAATGGATACTTTGTAAGTTATTTTTATCGCGAAATTTTACATGGAGAAGGCGATCGGAACAAATAAAAACGATCGGTCAATATTTAGTGGAAAAATTGTATTCGCGGGCGTATATATATATATATATATATACTCCTGAAGGTCATAGACCCGAGAACTTTATAATATATCCAAGAGGATTGATATTGTTGTATGAATTCAAATGTGGGAATTACACGTAAATATTTAAAAGTGTCAATGTATTATAATATTGCTTAGTATTACAAATACCCCAGTAGAGGGCGGAAATGTCACGCCAATTGCTTTGAAATTTTACATGAAGTTCCGGTTATGATCCAGGACGACGCCTATAAGTTTCGGTGATGTTGAGATGATATTTAGATGGTGCATTTTTTGTCAGGTTTTCTAGTCCCTCTAGAGGCCATTATTATATGCAGTTCATTGCATATTTTACAAGGTGAAGAGGATCTGCCAAAATACTTAAAACTGCCAAAATACTCAACCAAAACCTAAAGTGACCAAATTTTTATTTTATGCCGTAAATATTCACGTCGGGAAAAAGTGACGTTGGGATTCTGCCCAACCCTTTAGATGACGAAATCAAAATGGACCTCATCGATCTCGATAAATAATTTATCGATGAGGTCCCATCTCCGCAGAAGAAAAAACGTCACTCTTCTTCTTGAAGTTAAAAACCGTGAATGGCCTGAAAACAACAAGTAAAAGGACCGACAGTGCCGATTTTTTGAATTGAATTTAAACGTGTTTAAAGTGTGTTTAATTTGCAGTCAACAAAACGTAAGTATCGTCTGAATACTCGTTGTATTGTTGTAGTTGCAATTTATATTGTTGTCCGTCTGGTTCAACAATAATCTTAGATTCTAAAACTACTCAGTAGATTTAGAATCACTACAATCCTTTCGACTGCATCGGAACTTGTACAAGAGGTTTCGAAAGTATGCCAGGGTTAGAAAGTGGAGCTGTGGACCCATCATCAGTCAGGAGGGTGCAAATATTGCGAACTACATTGAGCTCGGAGGAAGTTGTGTAGGGTTTCATATGGTCGGTCCCGTCTGACTATACTGCTTCGCTCACTGGTTATAGTTGTTTTGTTGATGATGTTCGACTGTACAGATTTCTTACTAGGCTTTATGTAGTATATATAAGTTTAACTTTATCTCTCTAATCAGAGGATGTTTGTGATTGAAAATGGGGTATATCCACTTTTTCCACTTTTTGGTATACCTCCTCAATTTAGGCGGAATTTGGCAAAATGATCATGCGAATTGACTGGATTGGCCTGTGTAGGGTTATCGATGATTGGCAAATCTTCCTACAAAAATATTAATATTGGGGTATTTTGGTGATGTTTAAACATTTTTCAATAGATTTGGCTCTAATTTGATAATAGAAATGATAAATATTTGTCTAACTGTACACTTCATTCATTGGCGTTTTAAAGGTTTTAGCAGCACACATCGAAGTGTCTGCAATTTGAAATTACATCATATTTTAGGTATAGCTACAGTACATAAATGCAGATTATTTTCAATATAGGTGCGATATTGTGAAGATCTTAGCCACATTTTTCTGCCGAAGTGGCTATATTTTGACAATCCGCGTTCTGGAAGGATAAAAAAATCTTAACTAAACATTTGGCACTTGTCGGAATACTAAAGGATTCCGCCTCATTTTGCAATGAAGTGACTTTAATCTTGCATTCAGGCTGAAGGAGAATGAACACAGAACCATATTCCTAACCCCCATATAATGTATAACATACTGTAAATTTACAAATTTATATATACTGTAAATTTACATTTTAGATTGGTGGTGAATAAAAAGCTGCTGTCCAAAAGGTGTTCTATACCTTTTTACATCGCTTGTTTCGTTGAAGTTCCTAGGCCAGTTATTAAACTGGAGTTTCTGCAATTTTTTATTTCATTTCCCCAAATAAACAATCCACTAGCAGACAATTCACAATCCTCGGAAGCTTTTTATGAAGACTAATAAAAAGCTTCCGAGGATTTTAATATATTCGGCTAGGACGCACCTCCTTTTTACTTGTTTTTATAAAATTTGAGGAATATATTTTCTGCAGAAAATGACATATTATCAACCTAGTACTAAATTTTTCCTGACACTATGTTTTACAATATTGTTACAATGTTCCAGATTCTTCGTATTATTTCATTGTTGAGTATTAGCACATTAAAAATCTTATCCCGGAAGACAAAGGTATCCTTTATAAACAACAACATTTGCAAATCTTATTTTTAGCATTTTTTACAATTATAAGTAAAAGTAAATCTTACTTTAATTTAAAACTCATTTATTCAATAAAACTTAGCCTAAACTCTACATACTATTTACAAAAAAAAAAAAAAAAAATAATAATAATAACAAATTAACAACATGCTACCAAAACGATTTTTATTTAGATGAATATGCAAAAACAATTAACTATTTTTTGAAATTAAAGAAAAAAGTCAAAACTATGCAAATATACATATATAAAATGACAACAATTTTATATGATAAATTATTTTTCAATATTTATAATAACACGTGCGCAAAGCGTGCAAAATAATGCATTAATAAATAAATTTATTATTGAAACCAATTTGTAGATATATGCAATATATTGTATTCTATTTTGTATATGTATATTGGAACCGATCTGAACCATAAATTTGGTAGACATTGTTCTATTTATGACGTGTTCTAACGTCCATTATTACAGGCCATCAATAGTTGAAGAAAATACCCGTAAGAAAGAATCACAAATCGGTCTACATAGATATATGCACCATGTCATTCTGAAATCTGTTCAAAAGTTCATGTCAATCGGGCAGACCTGCGGTCTATGGTGTATATGTTATATGGGGACTACCCCAAAACCAAAAACGGTCAAACCGACAACCCCCCCCCCACAAACTGAAAATTGGGAGGTACCATTATATGGGGGCTACCAGAAAAAGTGGACCCAAAGTTATAATTTTTAGTTGAGAAATTTGGTATCCAAAAAGAGCCCATTTTACCAAATTCAAATACGAATTTGTTTGAAAACGCGCATAAGAACCCCAAAATACTAAAAATTTGGGGTACCCTTATATGGGAGGTATGCCTAAACGTGGACCGATATAGTCCATCTTCGAACTTGACCTGCCTGCAGACAAAAGACGACTCTATGCAAAATTTTGGCGTTCTATCTCAATTCGTTTAGACGCTAGAGTGATTACAACAGACAGACGAACAGACGGACATGCTTAGATCGTCATAGAATTTTATGCTGATCAAGAATATATATACTTTATAGGGTCGGAAATGATTATTTCGATGCGTTACAAACGGAAAAACAAAACTAATATACGCTCCATACTATGGTGGAGGGTATAAAAAGAAGGAAGATCTTCACCGATTGGCTTTATCCTAGTTCGTAAGATAGCTATACACTCACAGAGAAACGTGTAAAAATTTGGAATCGATTGGGTTATTAGTTTTTGAGTTATCGTGCCCGCCATTCGCAAAAGAGAAAAACGCGTTTAAAGTTTGAGAACCTCTTTAGCCGTCCCTTGATGCTGACACAATAAATC